TAATACTAATACCTATATAATAAAAAAAAGATTAAAATTCAATCCAAAATTATTAAAATAGAATCAAAACTGATTAAAATTTATTCAAACAAGATAATTTTCAATCTAATCAATTATGATTAAACTGGGTTTAATATCAGATGATTATTTTTTAGAAAGAGCGTATTAATGTTTCATCATTCGATATGATTAAACTACAGACAAACAGACATAACACATTGAATATGTTTCAATATAAAACATCGTAGCTAAAACACTACCGCCATCTGTTGAGTATACTGTGATGGGTAGTACGCAGAACAGATGGCGATAGAGTGTAAACGTAAAATGTAAGGGTTTTTGACTATGAACGCCACAGGTGGCGGTACTACCAACTAAAAACATTTAAATTGACCGTTAAATGCGTGTTCGCTGAACAAATTGCCAGAGGTATGTCTGTTTGTCTGTGATTAAACTGAGTATATTGTCAAATTGATTAAATTTCAAGCAAAATGGGAATAGTTTAATTTATCAGTGTAGTAATGAACCGTCGCTAGAACTATTCCACAGCTGCAGACCAAGGTGACTACATATAGGTGTTCTAATGTGTCAAACTCATGATTCAGCCATGTTGGATTTTTGTATGGGACAGCGACCGAGTTTGTTTACAATTTGCTCTAAAACCGCACTTTCCCCCCCCCCCCGCGACCTCCTCGCCTATATAGTGACAAAGCTGTATCACCTGCTGCAGACAGTATATGAGCAAGTGAAACGCGCACTTTTTTGCCTGTCAATTTGAAGACATACTTGCGTGCAAAGTATGCGTTTGACTTGTACTGGCGTATTAATGGCGTGGGCGTACTTTGATTTTGCGTGTAAGGGGCCTTAGAAAGTTTGTTTACAAATGCTTTTGTGCCATTATGAAATGTTATGCCTGATATTACAACTAAAATCAATTGAAAACTCAAGAAGAGGATCAATGGTTGAGCGTCTAGGACGAAATTGGCCGCATCTGAACATGTTCCGGGTATCCCAGGGGAAGTGGCTAGTTTCTGACTTGGAACAAAACCCATCATGCAACATCTCAAAACACATGAAGTGGAATGGAGGATATATCAAGTACCCAGGACCTTATTGGATACATTCGGACATGTTCCGAGATCCCCAAGGGAAAGGGCCACTTTTTGAATTGGGTTGAGGTACATACATATTCGTTATCTGCATTAAAAATGGAACCGAAACCCAAAATTTTATCAATTTTGGTACACTGAAACTATTTTAAATAAGTACAATTAAATTAGAAAAAAATCACCATCTTAGCACCCCTTGATGGAGCGAGCTGTCAACGATTAGATTTAGTGTCAACAATCAAAAATTTAATCTTGATTCAAAAATCGAGATGAATGTCTACGGGATCGATACAAAAATCATTGTGCTCAGAAAACGAAGCTCTATCAGATGATGTAGAATTCAAAAACAAGCGGAATAGTGATTATATTAAGTGCTCAGGACCACATTGGACACATCCGGACATGTTCCGGAAAGCCCAGGGTAAGTGGTCAATTTCTGACTTGAACCGAAACCCAACATGCGACACGTTCACGTTCAATCACATGATAATTCAAAAACAAGTGAAATGGTGGTTATGTTAAGCCCAGGATCACTTTAGACACTTCTGGACATGTACCGGGCGCACATTTGGTAGCTTACAGTTCCTTAAAAGGGCCAAATCCCATCATACAACACATTAAATCAATAGGTGGATAAATGCAGGTTTATCAGAATGGCTCCACTGTATGACACAACTTTTGATATTTTTACATTTTCATTCATGAACTCTGCACATACATGAAAATCTGTTTGTCATCGGATATTTTTAAATTCCCAACAATCGAATTAAATACAATTGCGTTCTTATATATCGGTTATAATACATAATCTGATTTATTTTCGATCGCATCTACTACATCTCGATTTTTAAATCAAGATTTAAAACAAAATAATAACTTCACTGTTTGACACTAAACTAATGGCTGAAAGCCTTGTAAATAAAGGAAAAAAAGCACTTATTAAAAACAGTTCCAATGTACCACAATTGATACAATTTCAGATTTCGGTTCAATTTTTAATGCAGATTACGAAAATGCATTCACCTAAATACCCCTGACGAACCCAATTGAAAACAGTTTGACACACACTCAATGAAAAATTATCAAAACAAATCATGAAAATCGGTCACCAATCGAAGTATGCCTATGCCTGTGGTGAGATGAGTGCAGGAGGCAGTGCTGAGATTTGTCATTGTCATTGACAGACTTTTGCGGGATATTGACAAAATTGTTTTTCACATAGTCAATTATAGACTTGATCCTCAAAAAAATCTTAGTCAAAATCTCATTCATTTTTTCGTCAATGACAAAGATTCACCTGGTAACAGAAAGGGTAATTTCTTGCATTCTGAGTCACATTATTGTTATCCAAGCTGTTCAGGCCGTAGATGCTTGTTCACTTTAATGGCTCCATGTAATTGTTTTCCTCAAGCCATTTAATTTCATTTTAAATTTAGCTAATAAACAAATCAGCACATGTTCGTCACTGACAAAAATGCCACTGACAATAGACATGGTTTGCCTTGACGATGACTGTTAGCTCAAACAAGTGACCAAAGCAGAATTTTGAGTATCACCGTGTATTGTCGAAATTGTGCAGCACTAGCAGGAGGTTATCAATGAGCCACAGTTTGAAACCTTCATGTTGATGAAATATCGAAGAAACCGTTGCCTTTGAATCAGAATATGCCTCTGTTCTAAAACGTCAAATCCCATAGGTACCAGATCTTCAAAATCGAAAACATGTTGGATTTAAACTTTTTGTTTTGTTTAAAAAAACTTTTTTAAGGAGATTTTTTTTTACAACTGGCTAGTTCATCTCCAATTGGATTCAGTTTGACAGCTGTAGAATACCCCTTTGTGAGGAATCGTGACTGAAAAAGTAATTAAAACTCAGGAGTCTATTGCCAGTTCAGAGAAAAATTAGCATATGGCATCAGATTTGACAACCGAAATTAACATTCGTCACTGACAAATGCTTTTTATAGCCGCTACATTTATAGTCTGACGATTAAAATTTCAATCTATCAAAAAGCGGAACCAGTTTAATATATTGTAGACCAAGAATCGAAAAGTTACTATCAACTCTTATTAACAATAGGGTAGACGTACCAGTTATGGCTATACGTTCCCATTATGGTATGTTCCAATTATGGCCTATGGAATTCCATAGGCCATAATTGGAACACACCATAATGGGAACGTATAGCCATAACTGGTACGTCTACCCTACATTGATCGCAAATTAACAGCATCATTGGATAGGGGAAACTTTCTCCAACCCAATGATGGAGTTGGTTTACGTAGGCGAGTGTTGAGTTCGCGAGAAAAGGGTTTGCTAAGTTTTGTTCGCAACAGCTGATGTGCTCTTTTCTATTGTTGGTCGTGATATGCTCGATTCGTTCCACTATTTGACAGCTCAACTGGTCCCCGAGATTCTATCCGCCAGACTATAAACATAGTGACTACTATACTGCTTTTGGGATTTTCAAACACTGTAGCAGAATCGTTCGTTGAGGACCGAGTTGAATATCTTGTTCGCCTCTGGGACGGGACTTGACAATCGGGTAGCGATTTCGAGCCAATTTGCTGTCAAATCCGAGCCAGTTTCTGATTGGTCGATTTGACAGTAGCAATCGTGGAATAAAAAGGACAGAGGGATCGCATCAATCTGGCTAGCAGTGATGCCGGAATCAATGTTGACGTGAATGGCATTGTTAATTTTTTTTATATTTGCGAAAGGAAAGTTGAAAAATTGAGTGCATTGCGTGTTTTAAGCGTTGGATATTGTTGTTTGTTTATGGTTGTTTTTATTGTGTTGAGCAAAAATGCGGAAGGAACTCCGCATAAAATCCAAATTAATATAGAATAAATATTTTACATTCCTGGCATCCTTGGTCAACTCCGTCAAACACCACGCACAAGTTTCCGAAGGGCATTCTTCAAAAACATTAAGAAGAGTGAGAAGCTCGATTGTCAAGTCCCGTCCCGGCTAGTGATGGCCGATTTTCATTCGAATTATCGATTAATCGATGAACGAACCGAAAAGTAAAACATTTGCAATCGGTTATATCATTCCGATATAAGCATTAACTTATAAAGAGGATCATCACCGATCGCTTCAAACATGTGCTGCACTCTCATTGGTAGAAAAATGGCAGCACAGCGAACAAAAAAAAATCGATTAGTTGTTAATCGAGTAATTAAAAAATGGGACACCTCTGATTTTGGTGTGTTTGTTTTGATAAAAATGAGCGCAAAATTTCATCTCTACCGAAGGGGCAGCAAAACCACAAAATTACCTTGAATACGAGGGGTATTCAATGGATGAAAGGGACCGTGAAAGAGGACACTAAAATAGAAAGTTTTTCTTCCGAAAGTTTCATCTTAGTATTCATCTTTGGTTGAACCTACGTATGGGCCCTTTGTATCCAGTAATCTTCTTACCAGATACAAAGGGCTTGCTTGTCGTTTATGCATCGGGATGTGACGGTTGCTGCAAAAACATTGATCCTTGGCTTTCAGCTTGGCGGATGTTATTATGTAGTTTGTTTTTTTTTTTTGCGCTCTCAGAAACAGTAATGATGAAACACTCGAACCACATAATTTTCACTGATGTACCGCACTGATCACTCGAGGTTGTTTCATCCTGGTTTTAATGGTCATCTGCGGAGGTAAGACTGGCTCGTTCAGCTGAGCCTCCACAGTGAGTAAACAAGTTGAGATATACATAAAACGTAGATGAACCAACTGCTATCCACTGAGCCATCAAAACATAAACTACGAGGTACTTTTTGTCAAATCGACGGTTTGCGCAAACAGGAACGAATATGACCCTATCACCATCGATACGTTTCTTCCCCAATCCTCCACAAACAGGCTCAACCAATCGATCCGGATTTGACGGCCAAGATGCTGGGCCGTGGCGTAGCCGTTTCACCGGTGGTAACCGTCGAACCACGGCGCCGCAAATTCCACAAGGCCATCACGCTCAGCATGCCGGCACCGCGGGCCCACAGCCAGGGCATGATCAACCAGTACTCGGGCAATGCACCGACCCTGCGACTTCTGTGCTCCATCACCGGTACGTACGAGGGCACTCTGTGTTCCATGGTTCTTAATCTCAATCTTCCATTTTAGTTTAACGCCTCTTCCCTACTACATATCTATCACTCTGTCTGTATCTCACTATCTACTATGTACCATCTTCAACATCCGTACTTCTCACTATATCTATCTATAACCTATCTCCTACCTACGAATACGTATCTCTCAAAACATACTGCTCACTGTTTCGCTCCTGACCTATGTTTATATTTATCAGATTTGAAAAGCATATCATATGAGAGAGATAAATTTCAATTATTGTTGCCAGTAAATTAAGTGAATCGATTTTTCTGTTTTTGTTTAGACATCGGCAGCACTGCTGCCAGATTTCAGTGTGTGCATATATCGTCGTCTAACGAATGTCATGTTTTCGTTTGAAGCGCATTTATTTTTGTTGTTCTATTCTCGGGTTGAAAAACCAATCTTTCAGTTTTCAGTCGGCCATATTCGATATTTCAGATTACTTACCTACATTTACGTCCGGTTTGATATCCATTTTGAGTTGAGCATTTCATATTTTTTTTTCGGTTTCGTACAAACACACATACACCCGTCACTTCCCCAGTTTTCGGTTTTGTCCACCCTTTCTAAAGATAGCTCATGTGTCGATTCCACATAGTACTTACTTCGTTAGTGCAATTTTTTGTTCAACGTTTTCCGTTGTGATTTGGTAGAAGGTTTTCCATTTTTGGTTCTTCAGTTCCTCTTCTAACCTCGCCCCCCCCCCCCCTTTCCACATTTAGTAAAAAAATATACAAAGAATACATTTTCGTACTAATACTTCGACAATATGCCTGTTACCGCACGCATTCCATTAACCCACTTGAAGGTGTGTTTCGGAAAAGATCTCTGAAAGGTAACTAACACAGAACAAGACTACCAACCAAAAAAGCTAAAAATTAATTTACAAATTAACTGAAAAGCAATCTGCAAAAGCAAAAAAAAAAGATTATTTTACTTTTACGTTATTATTGTTTCAATTCGATTTTTTTTTTGTTTTTTTTTTGCGTTTCGTTTCCAGTCTCAATCTCCGAATGTTCTCCAGCAAAGATTTGATTTTTTTTGTTATTTATTTCGTTGGTGAAAAAAGAACGATTTACCCTTTTTTCGGTTTCTTTCGGATCGTTTTGAAGTAATGCGGAAATTTGAGATTATTTCACGTTTCTCGATCGAAGTGAAAATGAAATCAGATTCGCTAAAAATAATGCTACATATTCTCCTTAACAATTATAATGTTACTCCCCCTCCACACTAGCACCTAAGATATATATTCAAGAACACACCAACGCACGGTTAAATATTGCATTGATATGATACTCAAGTTTTACTTACTTAACATAAATGTATACTCAGTTTAACAACGCCTAAATGATGTACCTTCCCAATATCACCCCTTTGTCAAATAGTCAAAAATTGGAACGATAATACTTAAACAAAAAGCAAATCCCCCGTTTTACGTTTCGAATATCTTTGCAACCACGCGAGCCACGCTTACTGTCGTTGACTTTAACCAACTCGTTACGGTCCTAAACTGTTTCCACCATGCGCCAAATTGTGTTTGAAGCAATACTTTTGCTCCTACTCAGGAATACCAGATCAAAAGCGAGTAAACGAACCGCTCGGTTTCTTTGAGGAAATATCGTTCAACTCTTATCCGTTACCTAACCTCAGTTTGTTTATATCTCGTATGATTTCCGCTTCTTCTTGCGCCGCCCTTCTTCAAGCCATTGAAAACACTAAATAAACAAATATCTTAACCAGTACGAAGCGAAAAGTGCGCCTGTGTTGTTGCATTTTGTCCTAACCAATCCGGCTTTGAAAATCAGAAATTCGTAATAGTTTTGTTCTTTTTTGTCGAACGAATTCCTTCTTTGAGAATGCAAACCTCTTTCTTTTATCTATTTCCAAATTTAATTAGCAAAACAAACAAAAGCATTGCCAACACTTCTACTTTTTTCGATCAATCATCTATGAGAGCCTTTGGTTAGTGTGATAGCCCTTAACAACGAAAAGCAAATTTGTGCTTACTAATTTACACGAAATTATATACGTTTTCCGTTATTTTTATGTTTGAGTTAACAAATTACGTTTTCCTTTTTCGTTTTAATGCGTTCAGTTGTGTATGTTTGAAAGTGGAAAACAAAGCGACAACTGAGAAAATGTCAAACGTTAGTTGCCCAAAAGGGGACTTTTCTGAAACCGTTGCTAAAAGCCATGCAAAATCCTTCAGCAAAACTTATACCGTTCCCGCAAGTGTGTAAACAGATCTAATGAAGCTAACAGTAAATGTACAGGACAAATCTCTAAAACATTAAGAGTGTCAAATTGTTGTTGCAACTTTGTATAGTACGAAATTTGTGCCGCATTGAACGAAAATCAAAAACGGTAGCTGAGACAAGCCGTCAGAGCATGAAACTTCATCTGTCAAAACTTCCGCGGAATAACACTCACTCACACCACTTCACGTCCGGGCGATACACACACTTACATACACATAAACACATTTTACGTTTGATTCTTGTTTCCGACATTTTCATCAGTTTGTCGTACATTTGAGAGAGCATCAATCCGTTTTTGGCGATCCAGCAACCCGATATCGATATCGGTCACTTTCATTTGATTTGATCTCTACCTTCAACTTCTTTCGATGATTACACATATTGAGAAGACTGACCACTCCTAGACTTCTCCTCCCCCTGCGTGTTATCGGCATCTCTCGAGTTATTGGCTTTCCTCAGCTACCGATTTGTCAGATTAACGAGACTTTATAGTAAAAGTCCGCTGCAAATTAAGCCAAACAAGACTGCAGCCAGACTCTTCCCGTTCGGATCTGGGAGACGGAATATCGTCAAATTTTCTGTCTCGGTCATGTTCGGGGCGCGGAGTGTTCAATCTTCTTGATAAGCAGTCTTCGACTTTTCCAAACTCTCACCTGCGTGTGTTTGTGTACTACGTTGTTTCCATTGTTTTGATCCATCCAAAACAGCAACTGTCATTCTGCATGCGGCTATCGACCCACTTTCTCTAGTTTCCAAGTTGCGTTACGTTCTCTAGTTTAAGTTTTGAAGGTTCTTTTACCATCATCGTGTTTTCATCCAATCATTCTCACCATATTCTCATCTCCAACTCAAAAAGACATACGGTGGATAGTAATGGTTTCAAACGATGATAACAGAAAAGAAACAGTTAGTTCTCGATCAACTCGTCGAACAGTTTCCGTTGCGTTCTTCAGTATCATTTCACTCTCAGTTCCGTTCCGTTATACCGAAATTGGCCCAACTTGAGTTCCAACTTTCAGTTTACTTCATTTTCTTACTTTGCTTTATACCTCCATTTAGTCGTTAATCAGCCACCGTGGGACTTGTTCTCGTGGGGAATGCAAACCGAAATTCAACTCCGAGGCACCCCGAGAACAGATCCCACGCTTAAATGCTTCCGAAGCTGAACTGATCCGGGGTCCTGTCCCGAATCAGTCCAGCCGCGCGTATGCTTTCGATATTGTTAACTCATTGTTGTACTACTACCACCATCTACTATACAATCAACGCTAGCTAGCTAGTCTTGCCAAGTTAACTCCTAAGCTAAGCATAGATCGAATGACCATTCCCGTGTTACGCTTAACCGAATGCTTCTGCCGCGTTCTCTAGGTGGTACAACTCGTGCACAGTGGGAAGACGTTACCGGTTCCACACCGCTGACCTTCGTCAACGACTGCGTTTCATTCACCACCACAGTTTCCGCGCGCTTCTGGCTTATGGACTGCCGAAACATAGCCGACGCTACCAAGATGGCGACCGAACTGTACAAGTAGGTTTCCGTTAACTAGCACATTCCTTTAGCCACAAAATCTGAATCTTATCCCCCTTACCCTCCCCAAACAGAGAAGCCATACACGTTCCGTTTATGGCCAAATTTGTCGTTTTCGCCAAACGCACCGACCCACTGGAGGCGCGGCTCCGCGTCTTCTGCATGACAGACGATCGCGAAGACAAGACCCTAGAGCATCAGGAGCACTTCACCGAAGTCGCCAAGAGTCGCGACGTTGAAGTACTGGAAGATAAACCACAATACATCGAGCTGGCCGGCAATCTGGTACCGATCACCAAGTCCGGCGAACAGCTCTGCCTGGCGTTCAAGGCATTCCGCGAAAACCGGCTACCCTTCGCGGTTCGCGTGAAAGACCAACACGCCGACATAGTCGGTCGAACACTGTTCATGCGTGAACCGAAGATTGCGAAAGGAGAACCACCTCAGCAACCGATCTGTATCCTGAACATCGTACTGCCAGAGACGATCATCCCCGACCACACGACTACGATAGAAGACTCACAGGAAATTTTAGTCCGCATTGGACGGGGCACCCGCGCTTCACCTCGCGATCAGAACTACCTTGGTGAACTGCGAGTTGTCGACATCTCAAATCTCCTCGGCGAAGACTGGGTCAAACTGGCTCCGGAAATCGGGATCAGTGAAACCGACGTCGAGAACATTATCGCTCAAAACCCGACTAGCAGTGCCCAGCAGGCGCAAGCCATGCTCAAACAGTTCCAATCCAAAGCCAAGAACGACTTCAACATCCTGGAAAATGGTCTACGAACGATCCATCGGGATGACATCGTCGAACGGTGTTTACGAAGCTCCACAACTACCACAACCGTAACGATGCGAAACAAAACTGCCTTCTCGATCAGCAAACGAAGTCACGACGTTGATATCATCGCCGAGTCCGAATCCATAGCAAAGTTGGTACAAAAAGAAGGTAAGTTAACCCAAATTTCCCCTACAATCCACAACCTACAACTGCTCTTAACACCTTCCTCCACCTCCCCCAGATAACCAATACGCCAAGGAGGAATCCAGCAAGTACTCGGTCGAAGAGAAGCGCGTCGAGGATTCGGAGGAATCCGAAGAGGAAACCATCAAGAAGACAGTGGCCGAACGACGAAAACAGATCGAAAAGCGTCTATCTGCCGACCGGTCCATCCCAGCATCGACGCAGAAGAGGGAAATCGTCGAAGAGATCATCACCATCAAGCGATCGAGCGTAATCGACGATACCCGTGCGAAGCACGAAGAGGAAATCCTAATGCAGAAACCTATAGATAACTCGTACAAATCTACGGTAATACCGGAACCCGTAGTCAAGCTGAAAACCACCCACTTGAAGGACGGATCCAGTGTGCCGAAGGACGAATTCGACAAGGAACTGCAAGACAAATTCAAATTAACCCTGAAGAATGTCGATGAATTCGAGCACAAGTCGCAGGTCTTAGAGACTACGGAGAAGGTAGACACCTCTGCAAAGATAGTGGATGAAATCGCCAAGAAAGACGCACCAGAATTCAAACCCAAGGTGGACGAACCGAAACCAAAAGATATCAAAAAGAAACCCGATGATGATGACGGAGACGACGAGGGGAAGCCACCTGTTCCTAAGGAACGGATTCCTGTACCAACTAAACGAACAAGCATATCCCTAGAGGACGATACGCCGGGAGCCGGCGTGGTCAGCGAATCCCTCAAGAACGTACAGGATAAGATTTCCTCGTTTGAAACCAAGTCCTCTGACTCGAGTAAGCGTACTTCTTGGGCCAAGGAGTCCTCGATGGGTTCAAAACAGTGGTCCGAAGAGCAGGAGATTCTCGTCCAGAAAGCACAGCTGGAAGCTACCGAAGTCAAGTGGACAGAGGAAGATGAGATACGAGCTCAACAGAAGGAGTTTGACCAAATCGCTGAAGAACAATCGATTCTACAACAACTAAAATCAAAGAAGGAACAGTGGTCCGAGGAGCAGGAGATTCTCGCCCAGAAAGCACAGCTTGAAGCTGCTGAAGTCAAGTGGACTGAGGAAGATGAAATGCGAGCTCAACAGAAGGAGCTTGAGCAGATTGCTGATGAACAATCGAAGCTACTCCAAAAACAACTAAAATCAAAGAAGGAACAGTGGTCCGAGGAGCAGGAAATTCTCGCCCAGAAAGCGCAGCTGGAAGCAACCAAAGTCAGTCATGTTAAGTCGACTGAGAAAGATGAGATTCGGACTCTACAGCAGGAGTTCGAGCAAATCACCGAAGAACAATCAAAGCAACAACCGAAGATCGACGTAGAGATCAAGCCGAAGGAAGCCAAAGAGGAGATTCTGGGCCAAAAGGCGCAGCTGGAACAGATGGAACATGCAGTCGAAGTCAAACTTGGCAAGTGGGCACAAGAGGAGATACATGAGATGGAAGCCTATAAGCAGGAAATCGAGCATATTGCCGAAGAACAAATTAAGCATCAGAAGGAGCTGATCGATGAAAAATTCGAAAAAATGGAAGAGGAATTCTTGACCAAGGTAGCCGAGGAGAAGAAGGAACTTTTCGATCAGTTCGAGCAGAAAGTGCACGCTCAAGAGCATGCGTTGGCACTTGGATTCCAAGACATGAAGGGTGAGGGACAAACTAAAATGGATAAAAGGGAACAGCAGTTCCAGCAAACGAAATCCGAGGTATTCAGCAAGGTTGAAGAGAAGGTCACTAGCGTGACATCGAAGGCGGAATCATTTGCAGAGAGCTTCAAAAGTGACGCCAAGAAAATCCAAGGTCTAGGAGATGGTTTTCGACAGGAAGTGCAAGAGTTTACAGCGCAAAGTTCCGAGACCAAGACATTCGTTGATCAGAAAGTCGATAGGACAGTGAAGGAGATTCGCGACTCCGAAATAGTGTCTGAAGTGAAGGAGTCTACCCAACAGAGTAAGGAAGCTATCGATAGGGCAGCAGAAGCAGTGGCAAAGGAAACTGTGACCAGTTCAAAACATGTAGAGCCCACTGTTCAGGAGGCGTTCACCAAGGAAAGCTTCGCAAGTGTTCGTGAAGAGGTCATCAGTAAGGATTTGACCGGTACGCTGAAGGAAAGTGCGGAAAAGACGAAATTTGAAGTCGAAACGGGAATTCGCCAGGGCGACGAACTTATAGCGGAAAGAGTTTCCGAAATTGGTGAAGAGTTCCGGCGAACGGAGGAAACTGCCGCAATTAAACCAGATGAAAAGCCATCGATTGTGGAAACTGTCAAGAAGACAGTTACGCAAGAAGTAACTTCTAAGATTCCGGTGTTGTCTAAGCGTACATCTCCGGAAGAGCCACCGAAGCCAAAGGAAGAACCGAAACAGGAGAAGCATGAAGAACCAGCCATGGAAAGCATTATCGAAGCTGCCCAGACCGTTGTGAAGCATGTGGAAGCAGCGGTTTCGAAGATTCCGCGATTCCACGAAAGTGCGAAGCCTGCTGCACATAAACCGGAAACATCCGATGTCAAATCACCGGAGCCGGAAGTGACTTTCTCGAAGATACCCATTTTGAGGGACCGTAAGAGCTCGGAGCAGTTCTCAAGTGATTCTTGTGAGACAGTAATCATGCAAAAGACCCTACGCGAACAGGATTCTCTGCTGAAATCGGACAGTGACGAAAAACCGACGGAAGGACTGCCGGCCACAGTTTTTGAGGAGTGCGAAGAGATCACCACTAAAGAAGTCAAGGAAGTACTGAGCTTTACGACAATGGATGAATCGGTGCTGAACGAACTGATCACCGAAGATGAACGTGCCGTTACGCCGGATGATTTCATCGACGAAATCATCGAGGAGGCCCAGGACAAGGTGCAGCTGATGCAGGACACTGAAATAGCTGCCTATACGTTGGATTTGAGCAAATCCGAAGACGGTGAGTGGGGCGTGTATAAGTTAAATTGTCGAAGAATATTTTCTCAACACCATTATGCTTTACAGATGTTCAACAAAAATCTCCTCATCCGATTCCGGAGTACGTAACGGAACGGTACGACCATGAAGATGAATATGATGATCACGACGAGCACGAAAAATGGCAAGGTAAGTGCACTGTCTATGACCGCTCCTGTACTCATGTAAAACATACAAAAATAGCATCCAACTCATTCCAAACCACTATCATCCGATATTTGTTCCTTACGATACTGTAAATCAATCACTTCAAGAATCAGTATTTAAACGAAACAACGAAACCTGTTAAAAGTCTAGAGACAGATTGATCCTTTCCGTATATACTTTAAATAGTGTGTATCTGATTATTTTAATCTTTCAAGCCCCTCGTTATCAAACACTGCTTTATGGTTTGAGTTGTTTCAGTTGGTTCGGTTTGATATGCATTGATAATAACCCGTTTGTTAGTTTTACCGAATTTCGTACTTTCTACATTTGTAAAAAAAAAACTAACATTTCTCCCTCAATTAAGCTTGGCTACTTTTGAGTACCTTACAATTACAATACTAACACCCGTATCATCCGTATTACTAATTTTTGGTTTGTTTATCGGTGCGATTGTATTCTATTCCTTGATTCATCCTATGATTTTCCTTCAGTTTTTTTTTTTGTAACTAATATTGCGATGGACACCAACAACATATGCAATGGCAAATTTTAAAACCTGTATCAAAATTAAGTCTCTCGGAAGCTAACAAATTTGGCAACACTGCTTCACTTAACTGTCACTCTAGGGAAGGTAAGTTAGTGTGCGTCGCAATTGGTTTCCGATGTTGAAAACCTTATTTGCTGTATTAAAATTGGAGGTTATGTTTATTTAACGAAAAAAAAATGCAATCTAAAACTTCAATAGGAACAATCATCCACATCAGCTGTACTAGAATCGCGAACAGATTTTTCCGCGTCCCTCTAGCAAACATTCCATTCAGTACATTTCTAGTTAGCCACCGACAGATGTCACCATCGGCTAGATGTTTAGTTTTTGTTCTTATTTTCCACCATTCTGTCACTCACGATCATCGCATTCAGCATTCGAAGAGAACAGTCTCACAACTAAAAAAAAACAGTGCAATTTAAGTTAAATTAAAAAAATATGTCAAATGAAATTAGCATTTCTAGAGAACTCTGTTTCCCTCCCTCTCGTTAGGATCGATGTTTTTGGATATCGTAGAGCTTCGTAAACATTAGTGCGTTTCTTCCGACAGAGCCCCGTCACACGTTAGTCCGCTCTGCGCCTGCAAATGAATGCAAATGCGTTCCACCGCTCTTTCAATGGGTTATTCCTCCTCCTTCTGATATGCTTTGATGTAGTGTGGCAATCTTGAAACCATCAATTAGAATTTATCGCCTTCAAAATCAGATTCGAACCATGGATTCGTGCGTCACTCTTCTTCCGAGCTTGAAAGTGCGCTCAAAGCTCAAAGTTCGCTACAAGTCGCATTCCAATAGACACACACGCACACTGACACATATACATTGAAACAGAATAAAAAAAAACTTACATTCCAATTTATGACAACAACAAAAACAGTCCGTGGATCATGTAGTAATTAGTGGAAGGTAGTGTAGAGGCAGTCAAACAAAAGAGCATGAGTACCATTGATCACTGTAACTCACGATGAAGTGATGGGATTGTTCGGCAAAAACGAGACGCTGTTCGTGCGATGGATGTTGCTGAATTAAATGGAATGATTTTTTTGGCGTTGTTGTATGTATGTAAACAGTTTGAACTCGACGAACATACTTTATAAGACAAAAAGCGATCGTTTATTGTTAATAATAAGGGAAATGGGGCAAAGGGGACCTCCCTTAGCTCAGTCAGTAAAGGCGCAGCTACAAAGCAAGACCATGCTGGAGGTGGCTGGGTTCGATTCCCGGTCCGATCTAGGACTTTTTCGCGTTGGAACATTACTCGTCTTCCCTGGGCATAGAGTATTATCAACAATCAATACGAAACTTAACGATTTTAAATTTGCTCACTACTTGACTAGCCTATTGGTCCCAAGCAAACGATCAACGTATCCCATTCTAGTCGAAATTCTAGTACTACGCAATGTTTGTTTTGATTCGCTATGAAAGTTTGACAGATAAAATGAGGGGTTAGTGGATTTTCCTAGGTTTCGAGGGGTAAATCGATTAGCTTGGGACCGAAGAGAGTACCAGAGCTGAGCCAAAAAGTTGAGCACGTTTCTTCGGGACCTCTTAGTCTTAGAGTTGCCTCTATGGTATTACCATAGAGGTAACTCTAAGACCACTGGGTCCCGAAGAAAATCATTATTATTTTTGGCTCACTCAGTACCAGAACAACGGTCCCAAGCAGTCCCAAGCTATTTCACTCACCCCTGCATGTTCTGCATGAATCCACACACCCCTGAAGTTATCTGTCAAACTTTCATAGCGAATCAAAACAAACATAGTGTAGTAATAGAATTTCAACTAGAATAGGGTACGTTAATCGTTTGCTTGGGACCAATAGGCTACTAAAGTGGTGAGCCAATTTAAAATCGTTAGTTTCGTATTGATTGTTGGTATTACTATGGTGGCTGTCAAAATGTCACATTTTAAACATCAATTCAATCCAAAATATTATCTATCTATATATGTGACTAGTAGCAGGTAACATTGTTTAAGATAAGTTTTAAATTATTGCCGGAAACATCATTGCAACGTTTTGGAACACTATTGGAACTGGTGGTTTATATATAATTATAATTATCCTGAATTAAATACCATAATCAGTTATGGTACGATATCATCAAACCGAAGACGGTGGGTTCAATTAACAGCCATCGAACGCCAAATTAAATTTCTGGATTTACTACAACATTCTTCAGAGTCGACCACTTGCAAACACATCTGGATATGAACAATGTAGTTTTGGATACTTATTATGACTTCCATTAAATTTGTGTTTGAATTCTCATCTAGTTTTTGGATAACCTGAATATGTTCTGTCCGTATCTCCGGAATCAGTTGATCGATTCAAACGATCTGGTCTATGGTAAAAATATCATTCATTTATTCTTTTTTTGTACAATGCTGTGCAGCAATAAGCACGTTTTCTAAAATTAATAAAAAATCAAAAATCATGTAAACAGTTCCAGCGTATAAACTATAAAGGCGGCGTATCAAAAATCATTACGGCGGCGCGCCGACTCTAAGACGTCGACGGCGGCGCGCACTCCTAGACTACCATGTTACAGACGTTATAAATAAATTGAAAAAAAAATCGATTTTGAACCACCCTAACATAGAAATGGTCACCCTAATGACAACATAAACCAGTACGGTTCTAATATATTGCGATAAGGACCTCCCTTACACTGAAAATAGTTTCCATAGCCTCCATTGGAAACGCAAATGATTTTCATCCATAAATAAAATTAATGGAAATCATCTGAATTTCACATAACATTTATGCGATCACGTTAATGTTATATGATTTTTCATATGAATTTCATTGGCCTCATAATATTCATGTGATTTTGTGGTGGGATTTTTAGCTATGTGAAATCCACATGGTTTTCATCTATTAGATATGTGATAAATTTTTTGAGTGTAGCTCAGTCGGTAAAGGCGCAGCTACAAAGCAAGACCATGCTGGAGGTGGCTGGGTCCAATTCCCGGTCCGGTCTAGGAATTTTTCGGGTTGGGAAATTTCTCGCCTTCCCTGGGCATAGAAGTATGATTGGACTTGCCATACAATTATACCAATGCAAAAATGGTACAGGCATCGAAAGCTCTTAATTAATAACTGTGGAAGTGCATCTAGAACACTATGTTGAGAGCACGCAATAAGCTAATATGCGATATGCAATAAGCTTGAAATGCGAAGAAGAAGAAGAAGTTCGTCTTCTTCTTAATTTTAATTTATGGATGTTGGATTTTAGTGTTCGTGAGATTGCGCTTGGAGATCTCTATATCGTTTTGCTATGGAATGGCTGAATATAGAGTGGAAAATTTAACTTTTTTTTCAATGTAGCATCCAAACCTTCATGCCAAACACTGTCGAATGCTTTTTCTTTGTCTAGAAGAGCAACTCCAGTTGATCAGCCTTCAGATTTGTCAGAACGCTGAAGAGTTGATGAGAAGTTGAATGTCCATGGCGAAATCCAAATTCTTCACCTGCAAATATTGAGTTCATATTGATATTAAGCATCATTCTCACTGGCGTGCACAAGGGTGGGGCAAGGTAGGGGCAATTCCCCCCCCCCCCCCTTATAAATAAGATTTTTATTTCCACATTTACAAATTTATGATACACAATAACTTGATAACTAGATTTGAAGGTAATATAACTTCATTTCATAATATAAGGACACTGAAAACCTTTTATTGTGTCAATTCCTTTAAGATGGTGCCTGAAAATTGCACCACAAAGGTACATGAAGGGAAAAACTTCAATGAATTTTTTTGGTCAAAAATTGCACCACACAAAAAATTTCTGGTGAAATTTTTTTTCAAGGTGGTTCATCGAGGGTTAAAAGAGGATAAATTTAAGGTTGAAAAAAAAATCTCCTTCGTGGTGGTAAATCGCTTTTTATTTAATATTTCTGGTTCGAAAAATTGAATCACGCTAAAAATTTAGAGATGCACATTTAACTGAAAATTTCTGATGGAAAGTTCGCAACACTGGGGTGAATGTAGAAGCAAGGTTTATTCATTTTTCTGGTGCATAATTTGCATCGTTCTGATGAATGCAAGCTTCATTGAAAATTTATGGTGGAAAATTTGCACCATTCTGATGCATGAAGAGACAAAGCCTGAAAATTGCACCACAAAGTTGCATGGTGAAACAAACTTCACTGACAATTTTTGGTGCACCATTCTGGCGAACGGAAGAGCATGCTTTAATGAAAATTTTTGGTGCAAAATTTGCCTCGCTCTGATAAATGAAATGGACAGAAAATTTCTGGTGGAAAACTTGAACTGTTCCGGTAAATGAAGGCACAAGCTTTATTTAAAATTAAGCTATATTGAAAACTTCTGGTGGAAAATCTGCACCGTTCTGGTGAATGGATGGGTAAGCTTTTTGGAAAAATTTTGTTCCTAAATGTGCATCCTTCTGCTGAATAGAGAAACAAACTTTAATAATAATTTCTGGTGTAAAATTTGCACCATTCTGATGATTGGAGGGAAGCTGCTTTACTGCAAATTTATGATGAAAAATCTGAAAATATGGGCAAGCTTTATTTGGTGG